GGCTGGATGTCAACTGCATGACAAAAGGCCAAGCCGGTTTTGTCTTGTCCAACTTCTGCAAAGGAAATCTGTGAGACCTCCTTGTCATCAGCGGCAAAAGTGCCCGGGATCAACGAGAGATGATCTGGCTCAACCTGCAAGGAGGGCTTGGAGTTCACACTGGTGCCCTGTCTAGCCTTCTTGGTAGACGGCTGAATCTTGAACTTAGCAGCAGCTCTTTGCCTGATCTTGTCCTGCAACTCATCACTCTTGACAAACATGAAGTTCGTGTGCGGTCGACTGCCAAGTGATTTCAGCGCTGCCCATGCATTAGGCCTGCTCAAGGCCTCCTGTAGTCCTGCAACTCCAATCTTCTGGATGGCCATCGCTGCCCTCTCGGCAACTCGAGCATGTGGTACACCTTTGTCAAGCAGGAGTAGCTCCAGCTCATGCTGAAGACGTCCTTCTGAGTTGGCGGAACTAGGCCCAAAACCAAGGCGCTGAAGAGGGTAAGCAGCAGAAAGAAATGCGAGGCCTGGGTGAAGATCCTCGATGTGATCTAAACAGGGATCACGACAGAGCCCAAGTGCATGAACCAGGTGGCCAAGCATGAGAGTGCCACAAGAGTCGGTGCGAGTTTGCTCCAAGATGCCTGCATGATAGACTTCCTCGACTGGATAGAACCACATGCACTCGACTAAATGGATGAGGCGTTGTGCACTATCCGGTAGCACTCCATGGCGAAGTCCATCGTAGATGTAGAAAGTAGCCGCATGGTGCACAGGGTCAAACTGAGAGCCTTCCAAGTAGCAGACAATCAAGTACCAGTGCTCATCCTCCAGAACCATCCAGTAGTAGGTGTTCCGCGGTCTTGGCCGAGCAATGAAGCTCTCCCCATAGTCAAAGTACATGGCTTGACCAGGATGTGTTCGGACAATGCCAATCCTTGTGTTGGACCTTCGATCAGGGCACAAAAGTACAAACTGATCCAGCAGGAAGTGTGCAGCATCCCACACGAAATCAATGCAAAGTCCAAGTCCATGTTGCCCAAATCCAAGGCTGTGGGCCGAAGACACAGAAATGTCCGGCCTGAGGCAAGGAGTGTCGGCGACAGAAAGAATGGGAGCAGCAACAGAGGCAGACAGCATCAGACGCGTGCTGTGCCAAAGTCGATGTCCAGGAAGCAGAGTATGCCCGAAGTCATCCTGCAGCGATGGAACCCCGGAAAGCCCAAAGTCATGAAGCACCTCAAACAGGAATGTTCCCACTGGGACCAAAGCGATGTGGAAGTGCTCCGGAATGTCGATTGCAATGGCCAGCAAACCAGTGGGAGCAGGCTTGGGTTGAGCCTTGGCCACACGGAGAAGGACGTAGGGGCCAAAGAGTCCTTGTAGTTGGAGGACAGCATCAGACGGTACCAATCTGGATCCATCGTAAAGCTTGGGCATGTAGCCCCATGAGGTGCTCGACTCTTCTGCTGCAAGCAAATGGCCAACATGTGTCAGTCCCTGGCGAGTACAGGGAATGGCAGTCCCATCGGCATCAACAAGCTCAACTGCACTGGTACTCAATGAGGAGGAGAAAGTCCAGTAGTCATGCTTTTGGCAGCTGAGCCGTTGCCTGAAAGAGTCCAAGCTTGCTTGCGGATCTGTAGTGGCAAATCCGTTCTGATGCATCTCAAAGGTACGACAAGCATGGGCATAGACCCATAGAGCTTGAGCTGGTGCAGCAATTTGGCCAAGGAGGCAAAGTGCGGCTCGACAAGGTCGCACGAAGTCAGCAGCCGGTGCGTAGGAGAGCAAGTAACTGAGCTCATTGGGGTGCAAAAAACGAAGATTGCCCGTACGCTTTGACTTGACACAAAATCCACGGAGTCCAGCCCGTTCCAATCGATCAGCACGGAAAGGTGGACGACAGCCGCAAGGGCAGTGTTGAAGGGCATTGCCATAGCTGTGCAAAGCTGTAGGACAGGTCTTGTTCATGTCCAGGATGCGCTGGTCAGGCCCCAAAGAGCTATCAAAGTACTTGTCAATCTCAAAGGCTGTGAGCTCGAGTTCACGCTCATCTGCTTCATCCCAAATAGGCCAGTCTTCCAGTACCTTATTGATGCATGCTCCATGACCATCTGCATGCCAACTGCGTAGCTCCGGGTCGCCGAGTGCTTGAGGAAGGAGCAGACACCACCACCGTGTTCTGCTAGATGGCCAAACATCACTGAGAGACAGCTGAACCGGGTGAACCTGCCAATGAAGGAGACGTGCAACCTCCTGAAGGCTGTCAATGATGACACTGTTCCGTCCTGCTTGTGGAACACACTCTAAAATGAGACCTGTGGCCCTAGTGAGGATGGTTGCTCGAAGGATGGCCCAAAATGGCTTGGTTCTCTCGTCAGCGAATGCCTTCTGATCCCCCTGACTAGAAAAAGGTTGGCAGGGGAAACCAGCAGTCAGCAAGGCTGGACTAGTTCCTCCGGCCAAGTGGCATGCCAGAATCGTCTGATCTTGGCAGATGTCACCCTGGATAATCTCACCATGGAGGTTGTGGGCCAGCTGGGAGCAAGCAAGATCATTAATTTCAACCGAGGCACAGATCACAGCCTGGAGAAATTGGAGGCCATACCCAATGCCGCCAAGTCCAGCGCATAGTTCTTTCACTCGGTGCCATCCATGAGGTTGCATCGGCTCCTCGGGAACAAACCTAGTGTCATCGGTGCCTGACAAAGTGATGCTAGTTCCATCGAAGGTGACCTCGGCGAGGTAAAGGGTACCTGAACAAGTGACATACGGGAAGCCACTGACCTTAGCACTCAGGTCCATGTTCAGGAGCTTGATCTCCACCGCATGCCCATCCTCTAATCGAAGGGGAGCTACTAGCCCAGACCATGGCCGGTCCACCGTGGGAACCGGGAGCACTAATGACCACTGCATAGGTCAGGCCTCTACTTTCAGTGGAAAACGGCTTTACCTGCTGGTAGGCGTAGAGCCAAAAGCTACAAAAAAAAAAAAAGAACTCAAGGGTCCTTCTCAACAGTGGCCCCATAGGGAGAAGCCTTCGAAACGCGTTGTTCGTGCGAGATGGTCTTCAGGGGGGCTTTGGGCTGGCTTTGGCGGGTTCAACATGGTGACGTCCTGCCTTATCAGTTCAGCTTTGATGAAAAAGAAACACACGTTTGCCAAAGCTATTTCCAAAGCCTGGAATATTGCTTTGGGGGGTGGACTGAACCAAAACGTAACACACAATATATTTATCCCAAAATGAACATAGTTGAATTTGAACTTGTTTCCTTGTCTTGGTTTTGACCACCGCAATCGCTTTTTTTCACGGTACCGTGTTTACCAACACCATAACATCGTTTGCAAAGCCAATAAAACAAAACACAGTTGGCTCCTGTATACGATGTCTGAAGTTGCGCATTCGACCCATGCGAGCCAGAATCTCAATGCCAATATCTGTTGGTTGGTGCATGCTTGTGCTGCATGTTTTGTGGTGCAACATCTTAACTTGATAAAACTCAATGCAAAAGCACAAGCAAGCGACCACACTGATCACCTGGATGAGAAAGAACGTGATTGTACGTGAGAGGGTTGCCATGTCAAAACGGGTTGTTGCCACCGGCATTTTCTAATGCTGGTATGAACGATGGGGTACGATACATTATATAGTTGGAAGAACACAACATGTGATTGAGATTCCTTTGATGTCCTTTTGATTTCTCTATTCAACATCTGTCCACTTCCTGTTGCCCTTTCCACAATCAATTTAAGACAACACATCTGTCTCGTCGTGCCCTTCTCTAGCCTTGTCGTGCCTTTCTTGTCGTGTTTATAACGTAACTCTTTCCCGCACCAGTCCCTGGAACTCTGTGGGGCTCTTAACAACCACACCCGAACGTCTACCATGGCTTCGTTGGATCCACCGACGGTGGCATTGAATTCGTCCCGAAACACCGCCCCAAAGGTTGAAGAGTCAGAACCCTAGTTCGGCTCTCCCAGTTCGGTACCCCAGGTTTGGGGTCCTAGTTCAGGTCACTTGACCTCAGCATCGCCGACTCAGTGACTCCGGCTTCGATGTACTCCATCCGACCCTCAGACCTCCACATGAGCACAATCGGACCACTCCTCGTCCACCTGAGGTGGTTTGGTTGGTGCTTGTGCTGGTTCCTGAGCATCCACCTTCACCTCCAATGGCCGAAGCAAGCTGTCCTGAAGCCTGAACGCAGTTAGGGGTAGCGCCGCCAAGCTCAGCGCGCCGACTACTTCGGCGGTGAAGCCACCGGTGAGAAACACACAGTGAGAGAAAACCACCGGTAGCAAACATGTAACCAACATTAACCAACCCATGGCTAAAAGGCCATCTATGACTGGTACAGGGTTTCTTCCCTTCAACGGTTGGAAGGTCCGCGTGGACGGTCCGCGATCGTGTGGTCGAGACGGAAAACCCCTGTTCAGCGGTGATTTGGCCGATCACCTGTTCATCCAGGACCGGACCGAACTTGAGATCTCCGACATCACAAAGTGCCTGAAGAAGTCACGGTCACAAACACTCCAGTTCACAGTTATGGATGATCTTTACTAACATAAACTAACAATATTTAAATATTAATATTCACAACAACATGCAATACTAAGGACGTGCAACATGCTGATGAGACCAGCTTGCAGCCCTCGGCACTTGCAGCTGGAGTTTCAGAATAGCGTCAACCAGCACCAGTCTTTTGTCTTCTATCCGGCACTGTCCTTTAAACGTGTCTTTGGGAGAACCCTGCGTCTTTGTGGTCCTAAGTCGTTGCACATAGGTTGCCCGGCTTTGAGCTTACTGCTCTCAGGCTGGGCTATGTCACTATGGGGCCTGTCCGTAATTTGTCTTCAAGGGCGTCTGTCATGTCCAAAGCACCACTTGAGACTCAAAAGAATTGTGAAAAAGGAAACAACACCCTAAACCCATGATACCTCATCCAATGCAACGGATCCTCACACGACTCAACCCATCTCCCAAGCCCTCTGAACAAAGACAAAACGAGAGAGTCGTCCATCACAGCGAGGAACTCGGGTGCGATGACCTTGTACAAGTGCCTGAGCTCGGAGAGGGGTGAGTGTGAAGCATCATTCAGACCCATTGGGTTCCATACTCCTGGCCCATATCTTCAGGTTCGGTGGTTGGAAACCCCTGGCACCCATCAAAATACCCCCACCTTCAGCGAAACTGAGGGGGAGGCCAGGAGCTCGGCCGAAAAGGGCTCGGTGTCATTGAGCTGCGTCATCCCAAGCCGAGCTAGGTTTGTAACCTTGTCGCACCTCCGTCCCTCCGTTTTGGTGGGAGGATTTTGGTGGGTGCCATCTACGGGTCCAGTCATACCCCAAACACTCCATGGGACTGGAATTGATAGTTCCATTGGGGGCATTTTCATTGCAGTAAATTATATATGTAACGATTCCTTACATGGACGGTTTGTATTGGAGCTACGAAAGGAACCCTCTACAAGGTGAAGTGTCATCGTGACGGGTTGACCAACCCCAGCGAACTGGATGGTGAAACATGTCCGTTTTTTGACATGGTTTGAATGGGGGAATGTTCCTCTCCAAAAAGTGATTCCATCCCTAAGGATCCAGTCGTACCTTCTCAAGAGGCAGGACTGGACCCTCCTGACATAACAGTGTCTCCAATCACCGTACCTCAGAAGGTACTTGGATCCCTTCAACATGAAACATCATGAAACACCGAAAATGGTCATTGGCACTGGATGAAGACGCGCAGGACTGGATAGGTGATTGGCGGAAAAAACACTAGTTCTGCTGAAGGATGCTGAAGTTTTGGAACCAGTCGGAGTCAATGAACCTGAAATCTTAAACTCTTGTGTGGGGGACTGAAAGGAAGAACCCGACAGGTATTGAGCCGACCACTTCCGGGAGATTAGTTTTATCAACAATTTGGGGATGAATTTCTTGCGAAGGCCATGGCTTTCCGGTTACGAGTCGCCGTCGTTTAGTCTGTGTCAGGTAGAGCCTGACCTATTCTAAACGACATCTGCATCCATCATCTGTTGCACAGGAGGTATGCAATCAATCCCGCCCCGTGGGCGAGTGTGCCACTGAACGACAAATCACTCGAACGCCCTAACTTTTTTCTGCGCGACATCAAAACTTATCCAAGACATGTAGTTCTCCAATAATTCGTGAAGTTTCAAGTGCAACCTCCCAAACCCTGTTATAGAACAATTTGTAAAATGTACAGTTCGTATCCGTGCCATCGGGATTTGAATTGACAAGGGGCCGGAAGGAACAAACGTCTATAATATTAAAACCCTTAAGTCCTTAAACCTTAAAACCCTTAAGCCCCAAGACCCTTAAACCTCATAATTTATACATATATAAAATTTGCATGGTCATGGTGGGAGTGGTTTTTCCCCCAGATAGCGGGAGCTATTGGGGTTCTTACTTCAAGTATTTGAATGTATTTGAAGTATAGAGCTGCACGTGTGAGTTTTCGAGCTGCCATGTGCGCTTGGGAGCTGGTGCCGCTGCAGAGTGCTCCTGCTGTGTGCGCTTGGGAGCTTTGGCGCTGGCGCCGCTGCGGGCTGCCGCTGCCGGGTGCTGGTGTTGTACGCGCTTGGGAACTTGGGTGGAGCCGCTGCAGGGTGCCGCTACCTTGCCGCTACACTGTGCCTCTGCAGTGTGCTGCTGGTGTTGCCGCAGGCCTTTTTGCTATCTGGGTTCTATGCTGACGTATTTGGGACGTACCTGCATTTCCACTACAAAATGGCATGGCTGGCCCACATGGTCCTACAAAATGCCTTTCAAAAAAACAGGTTGGCAAATGTAATGAACACCCCAAAATGATACAGAATCAGTTATCAACGTGCCTAGAGATTCCAGGAATGTGAATATTGACAGGCTCAAGAGCTCCTCCCTACAAAATGGATCAGAGGGTTGTGGGAAGACTTTGAAGCAAAATACTCATATGCTCTACAAAAACATGATTTCAGTGTTTGTAAATGTTTGTACAACATCCGCGTCCATGAGCAAGAGCAGCACCAGAACCAGCAGCAGCAAAAGAATGGCTATGTATTCACACATAGTCATTAGCCTTTTGGCTGGTCCTTTCAAGTTTCTTGCTATGTATATAAATCGTTTTTGTTTAATTCAGATTCTGAATTGAAATGAAAAACGTTAAAGCTTGAATTCAGATTCATGTTTGCATTTCAATTCAGATTCTGAATTGAAATGTAAAAATTTTACTGTTCAATTCAGATTCTGAATTGAAATTTTAGTTGGATGATTGTTTGATTCAATCAGCTGATTGCTTTCAGGCATAGTTGAATCATTGAAAGTTATGTCTGCGCACTCACAGGCTCAATCAGTCACAGGTGCTTGAATCTATTGTGAGCATTGGAAGGGGAAATTATTTTTTTAGCAGAGATTCATACAGCTCGACCAGGAGATGATGTGGCTCAAAGGTTTGCTGAATCTATCATCTTCAAGATTCAGCATGCTGGAGAGATGAGTGCAGTAGGTTCTGCATGCTTTGCAGCAACATTTTTCAGTCACGTGGATCTACAGAGGAGGAGGAAGAATTGGTGAATGAAGCCAGCAAATACTGCAAGCATAGTGGTTTGTCTTTGAACACCAACAGGGATATCTTGGTTTCTTGGGACAGGATGTCCTACAGGGCTGCCAGTGGCATGGCTGATTCTGAGTTCAAGCTGTGGGAACAAGCTGCTGGGATAAGCTGGTCAAGCCAGTCTGTCCTTGCATGCATGCAACTCAGGCATGTGATGATGCCTGCTGATCAGTTCTGCCATGACTGGATGCATTGTCTACTATCAAATCAATTGCTATAAACACCATCTTCAATTTGTTTCAACAGCTTGATATGTGGTCATTTGTGAAAGGCTATATGGAACAATGGCACTACCTCATGCTGTCAACAAACTGAAGCCCAGTGTTCTCTTTGAAGCAAAGACAATAGTCAAACACAAAAAACAGAAGCTCAACAGCACTGCCAGTGAACTTTTGTGTGTCATACCTATACTGGCACATTTTGTCAGGGTTGCTTGTCTTCCCACTGGTACACACACAAAGAAAATCGAAGTATTTGAAGGCTTACGCCTAACAGCCGGGCGCCGGCGCACTAGGGTCTGTGTAGGGCTGGGTCGGGTGCACCTGCAGCTATCGGGGGCGTACAGGGCCCTGGGTGGGGGCAAGGTGGGAAACTGCTCGGCGTTGGAGACGGGGGCGGGGTCTGGGGCACAAGTTAAGCTATCTGGTGCGCATCTCGGCCCTAGGTTGGGCCAAGTTGGGCCCATGTGGTCTATGAATTGACCTATGTTTTGTCCACAGTTGAGCCCATGTTGAGCCTATGTTGGGCCTATGTTGGCCTACGTTAGGCCTATGTTGGCCTAGGTTGGGCCTATGTTGGGCCTATGTTGGCGTATGTTGGCCCCATGTTGGCCTATGTTGGCCCTGTGTTGAGCCATCTTGGAGGCTACGTTTGGCATATGTTGGGGATATGTTGGCTATCTTAGGCCTATGTTGAGGATATGTCAGGCAATTGAAATCGTCTGGAAGGCCTCTACCCACAAAATGTCGATTATGCCTGTCCGCCCGGCGCACATTACCGACACCACCCTTGAAAAACACAGCGTTTTTGCATTTTTCCATCTTCGCCGCGTCGTGCTTCGATATGCGCAATAAACCCTGTAAAACACAGTGTTTTTTATACCTCACACACACACGATACACTGTAAATTACAGGGGCTTCAGTGAACCGGTGGTCCCCCCGTTTTTCGTGGCGAGGGTCGGCGGCAGGGGGGCCGAGCGTCTATAACCTTCGGTTACCACCGAAGGCCCTCCGGGGAGGGGAGGGGCTTCGTGGCCGGCGCCCGGATTTTAATGTCTGGTGCAAGGCCTGTTCTCACACCCGTGTGCAGCCTGCTGCCATTTTAGCAGCTGTTGAGACATCTTTCAAGCTTTGGGTGGACCTTTGGGGTGGCATATGCTGTAAAGCATCATTGGCTTCTTCGCCTACCTGGATTCCTGTCAAAGCACCACTGGCTTCCAAATTGTTTCTGCATGGAGAGAAAGAACAAGATGGTCAGTCGCCATGCAAACATCATACACAACACCAGAAATTTTGAGAGGAGCCTCTGTGAGGAAGTTACAACATTTGAGCTGGAGAAGCTTTCTGCAGTTGACTGCTTTGCTACAGGTGTGTACTTGATTGAACCCAGGCCATTGACCAAAAAACCCAAAGCTTTGGCATCTACAATGTGGAACGATTCCAAAGGCACTTTGCAAACCTTCAAGGCTATGGGCCAGCATGGGTGTTGCACTAAAAGGGGTGTTGTGCTTTTGCGCAGTACAGCTTCCGAGTTTGATGCTGGTGAAATTCTTGCGGCAAGAACTTGACACTTTGATGGCAGTGCCTTTGCATGCTGTGTTATTGGCAACACCTGTACCACAGAGGTATCACCACTCTAACTCCTTGGCACCTACGATGAATGCCTATGATATCAAAAAGCAGCTTTTTAGCAATGCAAGCTTGCTGTCATTGGTCAAGTATAAGGCTTGCGTCACTTTCCACTCATTAGCCATGTGGCTTGATGAAATTTGTGTGCATATCATTAGCCAAGTGGCTCAGTCAAAGAAAAAGGGGTGCACGTTTAATTTGGATTTTTCATTTTCCGTAAATTTTTCAAAAACATTGGAATAGAGCAGGTTTGTTATTATAGTACCTAGCTAATTACAGCAATTTCGTGTCCGTAGCCGAGACACAGGTGTCGTAGCTGGCCAAATACATTGGAATAGTGCAGGTTTCATATTAATTGCTAGCTGATTAGACTAATTTGGGAGCTGTCGTAGCTGGCAAAATACATTGGAATAGTGTAGGTGTCAGAGAAAGTCCTACGTTAGCAGAGAAAAAGTAAAGAGCAAAAGAACCAGCACATGAGGCATATATGATTGGTATTATGCCCCGGGGGGTTCACCTTAAAATATTGATTTCGTGGCAGGTGCGGGTGTCGGAGATGAAGTGCAGATTTCGTGGCGCGGGAGGGGTTGGGGGGGTGCAGCGCCCCCCCCAGCAGCACACCAGATCCAAAGGTTAGAAAGCACACAGATGGAAAAGCAAAAACAAAAAGATAAAGGAGAACAGCTGCCAAAGCAGAAAAGCAACAAAGGCAAAGATTAGAAAGACAAAAACACAAAAAGCAGAAAAGCAGCAGAAGCAGAAAAGCAGCAAAAGCAGAAAAGCAACAAGAGCAGCAGAAGCAGAAAAGCAAAAGCAGAAAAGCAACAAAAGCAAAAAAGCAGCAGAAGCAGAACGCAGCAAAAGAAGAATCCGAAAAAAAAACGCACAACAAATGAAACAAAATCCGAAAAAAACACTCCAAAGAAAAGTATAAACATCATATTTAAACAAACAAGAAACCTTATTTTCCTAACTAGTGACAGTTTTTCATGATTGTTAACTGGTTATGAAACCACAGCCCATCTAAGTGCCATCCCAAAGCCGAAGCGACTGAGAAACATGCATCATCATCAAGGGCGAGCGGGAACAAGCGGGTGCTCTCAGCATGGAACGCTTCTGCGCCAACAGCATCGATGATCCTTTGATGTTGCTTCTTCATGCGATCATAGAACTCGTGCCAGCACGTCACGCCTGAGATTGCGGGCCCTATGGAAACAATGCCATTGTTCTCTAACCCAATGGAATCTTCCAACTTGCTGCATGGCTGCTGCCCTTTGGCTGAGAAGGTTGTGTGAATGGTTCCATTGGCCACGAACATAGAGGTCTGATCTTTGGCTGAGAAGGTTGTGTGGAAGGTTCCCTTGGCCACAAACATGAAGATCTGACAGAGCCAGGAGCAGCCTGCCACAACTGCACCATTTTGGAACCCATTGTATATGGATACGCTCCTGATTCTTTCAAGTCTCGCCTTTTCCAGTAGTTTGCTTAAGGATTTTGCCATCAGCTTTTTTCACCTCTTTGACTGTTGCAAGGGTTGCGTGAGGCTGCTTACATGTGCACATACATTGCAAGTCATGCATCCAATGACTCCTGGTGATGCCTTCCTGCTTCCTAGTACTAGTGCAAAGGGCTTCGTTGGGCAAAGCTTGACGCGTGGTGTTGGCAGTATTCTCACCAATGTTCTTCCCCTGGCTCATCAGCAATTCTTTCACACTCACATTGACGAGCTTGGCGCCGGAGCCACTGATCTGCCAGGAACAATTCTCCATCTGTTTCTGGAGAGCTTTTATTCCAGCCAACATTGGTCCTGCATGCTCACTGTTGACCTTGATATTGGCCGATAGGGCGAGGAGCCCATCAGCCATGCGCACCAAACTCGTATGTTGTGCATCAAGTTTCGGATTGAGCAGGCCACTGGATGCTGCCATGGAGGTTGCAGCCTCTTGCACTTTGGATATGACCGTTGCTAGTTGGCCAAATCTATTGACCGCCCAAGCCAAGGTATCCAACAAGGCCTCAACTGTGATCTCTCCAGATGGCACTGGCATAGGGTCACTGACGCTGCCAGTCCCCGTGTCAGATCTGTCCTGGGACATATTCTGCAGGCACACGAGCTTTTCGAAATAGCTCCATGCGAGTGTGCTTGCACCGCCCCTCATATGGAAAAGGCGGGCTTCACAATCTGCCCCCCTGCTGTTTAAATTGATGAGGACTCCTAGAGACACAGATTGACACACATAATGGGCCGCAAAGCGGCGCACGCTTGCTATAAATGCGCAAACAAAGCATTGGACAGCTTAAGCCATACGTAGGTTCACAAAGGTTACCTATGGAAGCCGTAGCCCTTTAGGGAAGAAACAACGTAGTGGCTGGACAGCTTAAACATTATTTAGGTTCAGAGTGCTCTACCGGAAGTCGGCTGTCACTTGACTGAAAAAGACCTGGTTACGCACCTAAAAAGCCTCTAGAGGAGAGTCAGACCTAGAAAAAGAAACAATTTGCAGGAGAGAACGAGAACCGAGGGGTAGGGTATAGTGTGTGAAGTGTTGGGGCGACTAAACGAGCCTCAAGAGCAACCTGAGGAAACACCTAACAAACGAAGAAAAAGGGGCGGTCTTGTTGCAAGCAATCTGCATGATCAACTTGTTTCAGGAATATTCACCGTAAACTCGGCAGTCTTGTCTTGAATCAAGCGATACTGAAGGTGAACGAAAGATCAGGAAATGGCTCGCGGTGCATAGCAGCTCTTCAGGAAGTTTCAGACATGAATGCGGCGGTTTTTGCGGGGATCACACTGCACACCCAAGTGGGGAGTTGCAGCTGGTCACATTCAGACTCATAGCCCAAAAGAATGAGCATTAAATTCAGAGAAAGATTGCGCACTTGACTTGAAGGAACGGCATGAATGCTGAGTCAGTCAAACCGAAGGTGTTTCACATCGCTGCGCGCGCCCTTTACACGAAGATTAGTGTCACAGCTTGTTAACGCGCTTTGTTGGGCAGAGCTTTGCACGGGCTCTCTGCCCCCCTGCTGTTAAATTTGTGAGGACTCCTAGAGACGGAGTTTGACACACTCTGACATTGGTTTGCAGTTAACTCAATTCCCAGGAAAAATGGCGATGGAACCGAGAGGTGAACGAGTCAGAGCACTTGAAGGTGTTTTAACAAAGGGGTTGTTCACTTGACTGCGGAAGCTAGTTACTGCATTAGCCCTGTACTGCAAGAACGGTAAGGTGCAAGGGTCCGAAGAACAGAACTGTTTAACAAACGCACTAGCACTTTACCAAAGCTAAGGAAACCTGTTTTGGGGGATATCATGCGAACAACCACCATGGAAACAACAAAAGGAAAAGTAGAGTCACAGCGTGTGCAAAAGTTTTCATCCGCGCAGGTACAGAAGTTTGCGTCCTAACTTCCATCCAGTCGATTTCCCTAGCATCGTTGGCGTGACTAGGAAATCGACCGTCACGCCCCCTGCGACTTAAAAAATTGAGAAAAACAGAAACTCTTAGGGGGAACTTACTAATCACCAAAAAACCCAGAGAGCGAGCAAATGACGTACATTTTGATTTTTGGTTTTGCAGTCATTTGCAGCCACTTGCTCAGGCAGCCACTTGCAGCCTCTTGTCACTCAAGCAAGTAAGTTTCAACACTGTACTTTGAGTTCTTTATGTAAAAACTGTAAGATTTCTTCGTCGCTAGCTCTGCAGAAGATTAGAATCTATTCTCGGAAAAGTCTTGGATTATGATTATTTCTTCGCAGAACATTGCAGAAATATTGGTTTTCTTCAGAACTGCATGCGGAGAAATCATGATATTCTCCGGACAGACGTAGCAGTCACTTGCAGCCACTTGGCAGCCACTTGCAAGTAGCTGCAAGTGGCTGCAAAATGGAAAATCAAAAGGCGCACCTCCTGCGAGCTCAATGAAAAAACCTTAGAACGAAAGGAAAGAAAGACAGAAAGGAAAACGCAAAGGAAAGAAAGAAAGATAGGTGTAGTGACAAGGCCCACTAGTTACGAAACCTGCTAGTTACTGACTACTTAGCCGAATGAATTAAATGCAGTAGTTAGCGAGCGGGACCTACGTCTTAAACCGCCCGGGTAGCTAGGAGTAGAAAAGGAGAACCAGAAGGAAAGGTACCGACACACAAGTGTGTCGAGTACCATTTCCTTCTGTTACCCTAGATAGCGGGTGGGATAGAAACACGAATTAGGTTGCAAGGTGGCGGGGGGGGGTGTGGAAGTGCAAGTGAGGACATTAGCTTCACTGGTCTCAATTCCTCACATGGAAATGCAGCACATGGAAATGCAAGTGGAGATGCAAGTGGAGGTATTTCGTAAGCCCGACGGCATCAAATTCAGTAAATCCAGTAGTGAAACTAAAGCGGTTAAGAAAATCCAAAGAGAGGTCAAGAACAGTGGAGTCAGTTACACGATTTCCGGAATGAAAACAGCGCCTCCTTGCGGAGGATCACACCCAGCACCCAAGTGGGACGACTGAGCGAGTCACACTCTGACAAGTTAACCCACTTCCCAGGAAAAATGGCGATGGAACCGAGAGGTGAAAGAGTCGGAGCACTTGAAGGTGTTTTAACAAAGGAGTTGTTCACTTGACTGCGGAAGCTAGTTACTGCATTAGCCCTGTACTGCAAGAACGGTAAGGTGCAAGGGTCCGAAGAACAGAACTGTTTAACAAACGCACTAGCACTTTACCAAAGCTAAGGAAACCTGTTTTGGGGGATACATGGAAACAACAAAAGGATAAGTAGCGTCACAGCGTGTGCAAAAGCTTTCATCCGCGCAGGTACAGAAGTTTGCGTCCTAACTTCCATCCAGTCGATTTCCCTAGCTTCGTTGGCGTGACTAGGAAATCGACCGTCACGCCCACTGCGACTTGAAAATTGAGAAAAACACAAGCTCTTAGTTACAAAGGTGGACACACACACATGGCACCCTACTACTCCAAGTCCTTGTTCAGAAAGTACTTGAAACATGACGTAACTCACAATGTCTCCACGGACTCTCTCTCAACTTTCTTTCGCAACCTTCAAAGGAGTCTGGTTAAACATCTGAGCCCCGCCATGCTACAAGAGACATGGACAAAAGACATGGACAAAGAGGTTTAAAGTGTTATGAAATAGTACTGGGATTCAGTCGTGGTAGAATACACACAGACTAGCCTGTAAAGATGGTCCGCTCAGGGAGTGTGTACGAAATCCCGACAATTGTGACAAGACCCCACACCCTATAGGGCCTGCACAGGGTGTCAAGGGTGGGTGGGTGGGTTGGGAGAAAAAGGAAACGCCCTTCCGATCTTGAGGCAAAATTGACATCAGGATCCGGAGTTAGCGCCTACATGTTTCAAACCCCAAAATGTCTCAACCATCCATTTATATTGGGAGTCTAAGGACCCTCCTGGCACCCACCCCAGTCCAACCTTCAAACGATTTCGGCGAGTGGAGCCCAAACGGGAAAGAATAACACCAATTGGAGATCGAGCAACTTCGCGTCCTCGTATTGCACATGGACGGAGCCATCCGGCCAAATTTCTCCTCGGTTTAGTCAGAAGGACGTCGGTTTTGTGGAGCAAAAAAGTTCCACACCAGGAGTATCCCCCAGTAACATCCAGTGACAATGGATGAAAAGTGTGTTTTACCCACGGTTACAGGCTACAGGTAATGGGACAGACTCAAAGTATATTCCTTTGGGGGTGGAACCCTTCAAAGAAGTAGTACTCTAGTTCTTATCAAGTCAGTGGATGTTACTGGGCACCCCGCGACTGGAACTGCTGGTAAGCCTGGGTAGGAGGATCTGTCTTTCAGGGGTGGAGGGCTGAAAAGTTTGGCGCCTCCTCTTCCCAAACGATGGTCCATGAGTGACCTTCACCATGGACCAAGCCACCGGTCATGTCAGCCATATTTGACATGGATCCTTTGAAGGGCGCATGCTTTCAAGAGAGTTGTTCTTATTTCAATTCAGACGATAAAGAAGCACAAGAAAAAGGCGCTCTCGAAAAGGTGCCGACCGGTGCGGAAAAGGCTCGCACTCGCCCGGTAATCCACTGCCGCTGGCTCTTTGAATACCTGAATGGGGGCGGGCTCGGTACCTTCCAATGGTATACCCGGCCCCTATCCACCACAATGAAATTGAATAGGCTTTGCCAAGCCACCATTGCTTTACTAAGGGTTTTGCACAACAAAGCCAGATCAAAACATAGGTTTAGAGACCGGTGCGCTGTGGAGGCACCATTTTTACGATGTTGTTGGACAATTTTCACCCCAAAAAATTCAATAACCTTCACCGGAGAGGTTTTGGAATGGAATACTTTCCAAAGAGATTTAAAATCTCGATAAGAGATTTAAAATGCAAAACAATGCAAAAAATGCAAAAAAAAAGTTTTAAATGAACATCTTAGCAACAATCATCTCAAAAAATCTCGAAACATCTCAAAAAATCTCGAGGGGGTAAAAGGAAAACTCATTTTAACAACTCAAAAAATCTCAAAAAAAATCGAAAAATCTCGAAACATGAGAAAATATGCAAAAATATGCAAAAAGATGCAAAAACATAATTTCACATGCAAACTGGAGCGTGTCATGACTGCTGCGGTCAGTTGTGTTCAGCTGTTAGGATAACTTCTCCCCAAGAAACACAATTTGATTAACCATGTTGTGTTTGAGGTGTTTTCCAAAAAAAGTAACATTAAAAAAAGAACAAAATAACATGAAAACATGTGAAAAAATGTGAAAAATGCTTTAAAATGTGAAAATATGTTTTAAAATGTGGAAAATTGATCAAAACATGTGAAAAATGCAAAAAAATAAAAAAACATAAAATTTCATGCGACCCTGCTCTGATCTAATCCTTCTCTGATCTAGGTGATTGAATTTTTCTGGTGAAATTTTGATGTTTATATGTTGTTGAATCCTTGGTGGACAGGGCGGGAAGCAAAGCATGGCTTTAGTTCAGCTTCTCGATCAAGTGCGGTGACTAGCCGACTACTTTCTCAATAGGATCTTTCAGAAGGAATAGCATCTTTCAGAAGCATGAACCTAAATTGTCACGCAGCCAGCGGTTGCACTTGCAGAGTCCACGGAGATTGTGCCACAGGTCACCGGAGTAGAGCGCTTTGTTACTGCATCCTGTTCACACAGCATTCAGTTTTGCAAGGGCATCCTCAAGGCGCTTTGCAGTCTCCTTGAGGGTGTTTGTGTGCTCACCTCACCCAAAAGAATTCTGAACTGAAGTTCATTGTGAAAGATGGGTCATCAACTCTTTGCTGAACAGGACAGCCTACCACTTTTTGCGCAGCAAGCCTTGAACCTATCCAACTCAATCCACTCAGCCCAATTAGAGAGTGAACTTGCAAAGACCATTGTGTCTGCTTGCAAGGATATCACAGGCGGTAATACGTGAACAGTGCGGTGGTACGTGACCTGCGACTAGGTCCCGTTGGATCGGATGTCCTGTGCACCAGCACCGGATGCACTGTGGCTGCCACGGACTTGACTCCAGGGGATCTGGTGCCTTTCTGGCTTTCAGTTTTCTTTCTTGGAGATTTCTGCTATAGATTTGGGGGGGTGGCGCAAAAAAACTCCTTATGCTTTTCTAAACTTATATGAAGGATGTGTGTGTGTGTGTGTTTCTTTTTTCGCCCCCCCCAGATCTCCAAGGCTTAGAAGCCTACATTTAGACTGAACCGTTCTCGTCCTTCTACATTGAGCTGTGAAATCTGAAGCTTTCAAATTTATATTAATGCATTGTCCTGCTGGCTTTCCCTATATTACAGTATCTATATTTACGACCTGCCACTGCGGTCGGCTGGGCACTTGGACACTGCTTGGATTTCTAGGTTCGAAGGATCTGGCGATTGCTCAAGAAACCTCCCCAAAAACTTGCATGCAAAAATGCGGCTCCACCTTGTAGAACGCCCGTCATGTTCGCCATGCTGAAACTGACTATGAACCCACCCTTCTGTGCGACAAGAGTATGCCTGCTCCACTCCTTCCAGTGATTAAAGGGATTATATAAATAGAATTTATATAGAAGGACACCCTGCACATCCCTGCACCCTGCACCACCTCTGTCGATGGATCCTTTCCCCAAAAAAACGTGCGAAATCCCTACGGCTGCGGGAGTTCTTCTATCAACAGCAGTCCCTGCTAGCAGCTAGGATGGCAACCTGCTAACCTCAAACTAACCCTATACAGATTTGCATCTCCCGCAAACTGATTGGAGTCCTATCAAGGCGCTATCCCAATTGCGTTGTGAGGCAACCCCCCCCTTATTCACGAAGCAAGCCCGCACCAACACACACCTAAAGCGCTCAAGCCTGAAAGCAGCTGAGTGACACTTGCACCCGCTCCCCATGCGCAGGCAGCGGTGCAGACTTGCTGCGCAACGTCGAGCTTTGGAGCCTCAAAGCTCTCCGATTGGAAGGAGCTTTCCCAAACACTCCATGCATAGAACATATGCCCACATTCACCTCTGAAACCACCCCAATGTTAATTCAGCGTACAAAAACGCCATGCAAATCGGAGTGTCTGGGTGAACGAGCAAAGGTCTGACCCCCTGGCCATGCGGGACCGCTTTCCAGATCGCGACCCGGTTCCCGCGAGCTCCCGTTCGTCCACGTCGAACGGCTGGGAGTGCTGGGAGTGCTGGGAGCGTTTCACGGGTGTCCAAAGTGACTTCCCACCAGGTGAGGTAGCATGATTCTGGCATACTTGTGATCATGTAATATCATATATTATATATTACATATATATGTATATATATACACTTTCGAGAGTATATATACATATGATATTATAGTAAATTAAGTGCTGGGAGTTATTTGCTTTTGAGGTGAACCTTCTTTGTTTCACACGCATTTGGTGCACTAACCTACCCCTCTCTGCGTCACGTGCTCTTATATATGATCATTGGACCGAGTCCGGACCGAGTGGTACGCTGTACGCTCATGATCCACTTCCCTGGCCCTCCACAACCACCTCTCTGTGCGCAGAGGAGCTCTATTGGGATCACCTTCTGTGCGTTGCCGTACCTTGGAGTCACCACGGCCCGAACCACCCGAACGACCGAATGACCATGTCAGCTGAGGAAGGCGTCGCAGGTTAGGTGTGGCTTGACCAGAAAGCACACAAGCACAAAGCCCAGGAGTGGACACGGATGATAATTTTAAACAGAGCTGTGTATGGGACATCTGCTAGATATTTAAGACTATAATGATCTATAGTTGGTCTGGTTTTTGTGCTGGTCTTGTTCAACAAAGTTTCCTGTCTGCAAACAACCCCGTCCAAAGCAAATTGCACATTGACATCGGCAAGTGCTGGGTTGTTCCAAGAAAAGCCCACTTGCTTGGCCAGCCTTCAGGCGGGCCTCCTTCATGTGTTTCTTTGACTGAACATCTAAAGCGCACTAGTTCGATAGCCACAAAGCGGCAGCTGCCTGCTAGCAATCTCAGCAAGTGCCGATCCCAAAGTGTCCGAAAGCGACTCAGCAAGTGTCCCATCTTCGGAAGATTCCCAAAGCACCCCATATTTATGACCTCCGCACCGTCGCGGTGCGCAGGTCACCACCTCCCAGTGCCCCAAGAGATTCGACGAGGTGTTCAGGTCCAGTGGCCGCACCCAAACGGCGCCATCCTGCAGAACTTGGTGCACTGTGGCATCCACCCACGCCTGAAGGAGGCTGAAGGAGGCTGCTGCAAGGGAAGCGATCAGTTTGATAGGCGGGTGTTGAATAAGAGCATCAAGGTGTGACAATCAGCTTTCTTTTTTATGTTTAATACATTGTATAATAATTGTATAATACTGTATCAGGTTATCAACTGTCTTGAATCCAAAGATTTGGGTCAATCCTTCTCTTTGGTATCCATCTCATTCCATCTCCGTCCGTGACGTAGCCCGTTCTTCTCCACACAGGTGCGGAAGACCTCACACTCCAACTCTCCATTTTCCTGGGCACATGCCCGAACGCCACAGCGAGTTCCGCCAAGGGACACCACTCGACTTTGAGAGCACTTGCACCAGCTGATTCGCTTGAAAGGCCTTGAGCACCGGCAGGTTGGCAAGTTGCCCGAAGAACGGAGACGTCGGCCCAGGCCGTGCTTCCGTGCTTTCAGTGTGTGGGTTGAACACTTCCCCAAAGAAACAGTTTGTTGCTTTGTTTCACTGATTCGTTTGTGGCTTTAAAAGAAAACACAACATGAAAACAATTGAACACATACGAATCCGGTGTAATTATTTTTCGGTGTGTTTCGGTGGCTTTCTGTCGTAGGTGATTGAATCTCGCACTACAGTAAGTAGATCGGGGGCCATCGTTCGGTCTATGGTTAGACAGTCTGTGAAACCACGTTCGCTGCCAGTGGCAATTGGATCCCCTCCGATCCCCTGGGTTCGACATAACATGACATAACTGCCCTGAGATGCAAACCAATTGCACAGTGTCCAGGGTGATTCTTGAGCAATCAACTCTTCATGAACTGTAAGGCAGCAAACCCACGAGCCAGGGTTGTAGTGAAGCCCAGCCCCTGATGAGTCACCGATCGCAGCTACCCCGCGGCCAGTCTGGCTCGCAGCTGACAGGATGAAAGAGACGGAACCGCTCACTCTCCCTCGCAGCTTTTTTTGAGCTGAGGCAGTTCGAAGGCTCCAATGGTTTTGTTCTACTGAGATCTCTAACTCCTTCACCTCCTCCGCCCTCCCTGCTCAGCCCTATCTTGGATTTGCTTATAATATTAAATATATATATATATAACACCGGGAAAAATGACAGGTGTATCCCCCAGAAAGGGATTGACCCATAAATATAGGGAACCCATCACTTGATACTCCTTTAGAACTCTTTACAAGCATATTGAGCCAAATCAGGTTACACTCCCTGGAACTAACATGGAAGTGGAGAATGGCCCCTTGGAAGACCATTTTCCACTACAAACAGGTGGTGAACTCCACGTAACCATGTGAGTCTTCCAGGGAGAGTATTGTTGAACGTTATGGTTGAACACATCCATCTGACATCACTCGCCTACCCGCCGTCCCACCGTCCGTCACTCCTCTCCATGTTGGCCGCGTCGCGCAGGTCACGAGCGCGGCCATGCTCCCGGTCGCTTCCGAGCTTCCAAGCCACGGCGTGGACGGTCTCGACTCGACTGGGGGTGTTGGATCCCATGGGTTTTTGGGGGATGCCCTTCTTGACGCTCATTGGGCGTTTCTTGGGCCTGCATAACCAGCTGCCGACATCGAGAGAGGACAGTAGAGACGAGGTTGATGTCGGATGGGGGCCAAACCTTTTTGGAGTGCCGGTGTGCGGCTGAAGGCACCAAGCACAAGAAGAACAGAAGTTCGAAGGTCGAAAATCACATCCAGGAAGTTCCAGTGGAAATCAATTCTACCAACTTTGAGGTTGCTTTGTAAGAACCATACCAGGTGAGAATCTAAATGAGACCCTGGGGCACCCTGAAGTTGTCTCAGACAGGGTTCGCCTCATGCCCAACCTGCAAATGCAATGGATGAGTCTACTTCACACGTCCCATTTCTATGCTTTCTCCCTTATCCACATTGACAAAGATGATTGTCCTTGCAAACAGGGTGTTCTATAGGGTGTAAGCCCTAGGCACTGGTCGATCACCCTTCATGCTTTGGCAGGAATCTCCTTCCACGTGTTGAACTCTGAACTCTTCCACCTTCGGGAATGGTTCTTTTGGCTGAAGCATGTACGTTGCTCAAAGGCCTCCAGCCTCGCTTTCCAGATCATTTGGACGCTTCCGGATGAACGCATGCTCCAAAAACACCTCCCAGAAACCAACACTCAGAATAAAAAATAACATCAGAAAGGTATCAACAAGCCTCACTGTATTCAACAATACGCCATTCACCAAATGCATCTCTCCCTCATCATCCTCATCCCTCATCCCTCCAAACCCTGGACCAAACCAAGCGCCTCCCGCTGAGCCTCCCGCTGCTAAGCGCCCTTGGCACCCGTTCAGCTCCTTCTTGCGCTCCAAACCTCCACAGTTGATTCAGTGCTTCGATTCCCGTTTGGGGCTCCGTCGTCCCATCTCCGACCCGGTGACCGGTGGAGAGATCGACCCCCCAAGACCACCCACCCGTGTCCCACCTTCGAAACGAAGGTGGGCCAGGAGCCCAAACGGGAATATAGATACCCAAATTATATGATAGTCTATACCAGCACCGCCCAGTTCGGGTGGTTTAGAGACCCCCCTCAAAAAAGGTATTTTCCATCCAATAACCACCCGAACTGGGTGGTGCTGGTAGTACAGCTGGTAGTAGATCCCTACCAAAAAACAATGGAAATCTGTGTCATTCTGTGCAACTTTCTATGTGGGGATCACTATATGATCAAATGAGATTTGCTGCACCTTCTATGTACACTTACAGCTATCCAGTACCAATGTGTCCATTCGGTACAAAGGGGATGAACGTGGTAAATATGGTCAAACATGATGACGGCGAAAGTGCCTTCTGCTCTGAAATCTTTGTACAGTACCCTTCTATGTCAGCTGCAATTTTGGACCTAAGAGCCACACCCAAAGACCAACTCATGAAAATTGACGCAAAGAAACTCACAAATTCTCTGCCATGCCCAAATCTCTTTGATTTACTAGGTGTCTTAAAACCTTTACCTTATAACCTTTGGCTATGAAGAGGTTTTGCGATGGGTTTGGGACCTTCCATGGGAGCCAAGGGGGGGTTACTGCATGTTTACTGTATTCTCCCAGTCCCCCCACCTCCCCGTCCATCCAACACGAATCGTACGCACGCCGGTCCCAGTTGGTCGTTCACCAGACCGACCGACCGACCCGCGCCTTGCAGCTGGACGGCCAGACCCGGCCGCAGCGCCGTGGACCTGGAAAGGGCGGCGACCGAGGAGCGGCGGAGCTGAACACAAAGAGAAGTAGAGTCTCTAAAGCTCCAATTTAGTGGACGTGGTCATGAGTCATACCAAAGCACGATGATGTAAAAGACCAGGGTTTGGGTCAGACTGGACTTAGTAGGGTGTCATTGGCAGGTTTCGGTGTTCGGTGTTGAGGGGAAGGTTCAAGTACCACGCTCCTAGTAACACGCTATGTACTGTACAAGCCCAGTCTGATCCAGTAAAGCCTGGTCGTTTACCTCCTTAAGTTAGTGCTGTTGTAGGCTGCAGGTCCAGATAAAACGAGATCAAACTGACCTGGGAGTAGATGGGAGAGTTGATCCACTCTGAGATGTAGGTAGAAGCATGGTACCCTGGTGACCACGATCCCCAATGTGAGAAGACCAGGCTCAGTTGGAGGAACCCAGGCTCAGTTGGACAAACAGCCAGGCTCATCGTTTGAGAACTTGGACTCTGGGCTCTGAACTCATCAACGTGATCAACCATCTTCATGGAGGGTTTGGAACCCCCGTTCCTTTGCTGGGCAGCCCAGTCGTAGCGTCCGCGACGTCACGGGGGCCCCTGGAGCGGCCGAGCTGGCTGCCTGGTCTTTGGAAACACGAGCTGTGAACGCGACCAAGAGCGGTTTGGAGAAGTCATCCCTTGGCGATGTCCTTTAAGAAACCCCCAGTTCAATACACCCACCCACAAGGTCAGTGCTCGCCCGTGTCACAAATATATTTGGATCCGCCTATGCCAGCCAAGGAGTGGCTGCTATACAGTCCTTGCATGTCCTTGCAGCTGAATTCAGCAACCCTTCGGTGAGTCTGCACCCATGAACCAACTCCGCTCCTCGCAGCTGAAGGTGCTCTAGAGGACCTCGACATGCGGCAGGTCTTGGTCTGTCTTGGTCCGCTCAAAAAAACACTGGCATACCAGAAGCCCGCAGGTTACCAGTCACCAGTGTGCCGCGAAGAAGACCTGAAAGGATCAACTTACCCCCGAGAAAAAAAAAAAAAAACGGTGGCATGGCGTCCAGCAAAAAATGGAGGTTCGAAAGGCACCGGATGTGTGAGCCAAGAAACCCAAAAAGGGGTCCTTCATGTGCTAAATTGACAGATTCGTGCCGTGCCTATTCAAGGGCCTATTCGTCTAGAAAGTGCACGTCTAAAAGTGTACTTGCGACGGTTGCACCAATCTGCATAATGCTATTTCTGCTCCTGAATGTGTAGCCATGTCGTGCTTGAGTTAGAGGCATGGCTCACATGAAAGCTGATGAGTACACTCTGGATCACGGTAGCTTAGAACCCGGAACGGGCAAAAACACTTGATTGTTCCAATATGGGGCTGGCAGAAAAAAGGGCTAATTCTATCTTCGTTTGGGGGCTCCACGCATTTGTTTTTGGTTGGGACTGGGGCTTCCAGGTAATAGCAAACACCCCGGCCTAGTCCACCGGCGGCCCAGCCCCTGGGACTCAACACTATGTCTCAGTCTTACTTGTGGGCTCTGAAAGCCAGTCATTGTCTTGTTTTGAGAGGATTCAGCATGATTCATTATTGGGGGAGGGGGAGGGTTGCTATTGAAAACCAGTCATTTTCTTCTTTTGAGAGGATTCAGCATGATTCAAGCATATGGCTTGAATCCAGCAAACTCTTGTGGCAATCGGATCATTCTTGGGAAAGGGTCACTATCCATAAACTGGTTGGTAATTTAGTAAGCCACCCAAGCGAAAACGGGTCAATTGGGATAAGCCGTCGCAACAAAAATGAGCGACATAACTTAGTCACATGGACAATTATAGGAACATACTGAAGAATCCATCGCCGTAATAGGGGCACACCCCGGCTTCCAGGTACTCTGCAAGTATACAATAGCTCACATCTTAGTAACGGAAACAAATGGAACACTTTGTTGTCTTGAGGTCACTGGTAGCCTCATGGGCCGTCCCAGTGGCGCGGCAGCCGAGTGTACGGAGGTGCTGGCGCCTCAGTGGCGCGTGGGAACGCCCTCCGGCCTCCGGTCTTTGGTGGGTCTAAAGCAGTGGAAGAGGTGAATCCTTCGTCTCAGGGGCATCGGCTCAGGGAGTCTCTTGATTTCATGGCGATGCTGGACCAAGTGACCGAATTTGGGCATCTCAGGTCCAGTCACGTTGAAGAAGACCTTGCAGAATGTGGTAGCCCAGTGTTTCTGACATGCGCTTGGTTGGCCCGTTGGGGCCCTGGAGAAAGGACCAGTAGGGCATATGCCCCCGTAAACGCTCCAGCAAACATGACCACCTCCACTCACCACCTATTTTGTGAGCTATCTTTTCTCATGCCGTCAAGGCGGGTACCTTTGGTCCTTCAATGGCTTTCCAATGAACTTGTCGTTCCCTCTCAATCAGGTATGAATTTTACATCTCAGTATGCACATGTCAGATTGTCTACTTGCAAATGAGTGGACCACCAACGGAAATCCGTTGTGTCATATACGGAAACTGTACCAGCGCGCCGGTATGGGGCATGGTCACCAGTAAGCGCCTCATGGGGCTCGGACCGTCAGACCGGACGAACCGAACGGACTGGGCTCTCGGACGCTCTCCGGTCGCCTGGCAGGGTGCCTCCGGTCGCATGCTCGGTGGTGCTCTTGGGGCCCAAGTACTGAGTAACTGCCCAGACGCTCCGTGAACGACGCCCGACTGGTCCCTCAAAACCTAGGGATTGGTTCGACCCCAGACCCCTGACCAAAGGATTCGGGTCCGACCCTTCCATATGAGAGCCCAGGGTCGCGTCTGGGTGTTTGGATTTCAAGTGCTTTACTGGACCAGTTGTTTCTCTTTTTTCTGGCGAGTCAGCTGATGTTATCACAGATAGCCTGATCAGGAAGTATTTCCCGGCAACGAACCCCACAGGGTGTGGTCCGTCTGCGGACGGGACGCGTGGGGGTAGGTGGGAAGCCTTGGGGCCTAGAATCTGGACAGGGGGGGCAGGTTGGGTTGGAGAGTCGGCTCACCTGTTGTGAGGGCTTGAAACCTCTGGAGCATCCCAAACAATGTAAGAACTGGCTCGACCAGCTCATGAATCATGGTGCAACATCCAGGAGTTTCAAGCAGGGCACCTGGTGGTGCAAGGGTACCCTCCTTTTTCCCACGAATAGACTACCAAACATGGTTCAACCTAGCAGGCTCCAATGGGCTTCAGGTTTTGACCCGTCAATGTAGCTCTAAGAAACTCCAGAAATGGCGACTCACAACCGGCGCTTTTCTACCACTTCTTTCCCCTGGGGCTCCTGTCCCATCTCCGACCAGGTGACCGGTGGTTAGACCCCCCCAAACCACCCACCTGTGTCCCATCTTCGAAACGGAGGTGGGCTGTTCGGAGCCCAAACGGGTTCATTCATCGATGCGAATCGTGGCGGTGAACCCGATCACGCGGTCAGCCCGGCGAATCGCGGGAGATCGCCGGGTCTCGTCGGTCGAAAGGTCAGCCGTTGAACGTTGGGGGGTAAAGGCACAATGCAGGTCATAAAGAATTCGTGAGAATACGTGAGAGGCAGGTCATACCAACAGAGGTCGGTCAGAACCCGAACTAGACTATCCCAGAAACCGGTACCCCAGGTTATGGCCCTATTTACGGTCACTGGATACCTCTCTTGGTAAGCTCCAGCCGCAGCCCCCTCCTGAGCACCAGCTACAGCTGTATATACCTATAGTGAAAGAAAAACATCCCAGTAAGTTCAGACTGCCAGCATGGCAGTCCGAATAACCCAATGCTACCATTGGAACTGTCGAAAGTATTGGACCGGGCAGTACGAAAGAACCTTGTGGAGCAAATCTGGGAGTCTCACCAAGACTGCCAGCATCACACTCCAAGGGATTCCAGTTGTCATGATATACCCGGATCTTCTGTCTGTGCTAAATGTCTGCCTTTTGGCTGATTTTCATGGATGAAAAGGTGGACATGTTGCAGAGTTGGAGAACCCACATGCCAGCAGCCAGCACAAGGAGCTGTAATACATAACTTAACTGAAATTGAATTGAATGCACTGGTTAATTAATTGTCTTTGTTTAACAAAAACAGAACCATTCAATGGGCACTTGGCTGGACTATTGCTGTCGCGTACAGTATGGCAGGCTGAAGCTATGTCAGAACGACTGTATATAGTTCAGCACGACATCTGCAGTCTCTCCTGAAAACCCGAGAGACTCACCTGCAGTCTCTCCTGTGTCGCGCCAACGTCCTCCAGGATTCTTGGGGACGCCGAGTTCCGCCGAGAATCGAGTGTGGCTTGGAGTCTCTTGCGGCGGGACATGTCTAGATCGACATTGGTTTTATCTACACCCAGATCGTGGTGAGAATTTGGTTGAATTGGTCATTGGTCCATATTTGTCCTGTCTTTAATTTGGTTGAATTGATGGGAATCTTATACCTGGACCTTCCAAGGGGTGTTTTCAGAATGGAGATCCCGGATGGTAGTGGGCTGGGGTGAAACCAGCCAGGTGACCCCTTCAAGGAAGGTGGTAGAATCTTCAGTCCCCTTTTGGTCCTTGCTCTTTCCAAACAGAGGTAGCCAGTGACCGGTTTCATAGGACCCGTAACGGTACCGGGTACCGGTTTCGGGGATAGCCGAAGAGTCGGGGATCCGAGACTCGGCGGTGAGTCGCCAGGAAAGAAACGCCGTATACTATCGTATACTTAGGGGTAGCGAGCCGTAGCTTCTCAGGTATGCTAGTTGGAGACACTGTTGTGTAATACCCAGACGCTCATGGGCTCTCATATGGAAGGGTCGGACCCTCATATGGAGGGGTCTGGGGTCTCAAATCCCTAGGTTTTGAGGGACCAAGGGCTGTTTGGAGCGTCTGGGTAGGAGGTAATTGGTTATTGTAGGTTTGGAGGGTCCAGCTGTACCTTCTGAGAAGGTACAGCTGGATTTCTTTTAAGGGTGAAGCACCAAGACTTGAAGACTTGGTGCTGCGACCCCTCCGAGGCCCTGAAGTGGACCCCCTTCCAGTTAGCTTGGATACTTCAAAATCGAAGCTCCCTCACTCTCACACACTCTCCATCAGCCGTGCAACCTCCACACAGAAACGGCCCCTGGACCCGGCCCTAGCTCACTCCACAGTCTCTGAAGGAGGTGAACAAAACAAGAAAGCTAAATCCTGTCTTTGAAAGGTATGGCAGACTCTTCAGTTCGTAATACAACAAAGCTCATCAACAGCAAGCGAGATCGACAACATGGAAGTGGATCCCAGCGAAGTGGATCCCAGCGACGAAGTGCTGCGATCCACCGGACGGTCCGGTGGATCCCAGCGACGCTTCGCACGGTTTTTTTAGACGACCACGACACCCGACCCTACGTTTTTTTCATCTGTTTCACAGGTGAACATCTACAGGGTGGAACACCCTGACGCTTTTCAGCCCCAGGTCGACCTGCGGGGCTTTCCGACGTTCCCTTTTCCGACGCCGAGCCCTCGGGCGGATCGTCGACCGACGGTTTCGGCCCCCACCTGGAAGGTGGAAGGCCTGGGAGGGAGGAGGTCGGTAGGACAAATCGGTAGCGATCCAATCCGACGCCATCCCTCTTCTCATTCCAGGGGTGGGGGTGTGCATGTGCAGGCCATTTTCTATGAATATGAATGGGAAGGAGGATACACCAGGTAGGTACCAAGGTATCCGGGTGCCATGATCCACAAGGTCATGGTCATTTGATGGACGATCAGAATCCTTGGGTCCTCGATGGCAGGGGTTGGAGCCTCAGCAGGGGTGTGGACCCTCAAATCCCGTCCCATTTGAAGGCCCAGATTCTTAGGGTATAGGAACCAATTTCATCCACTTCCAGGTATATATAAAGGTCAACCAAAACGCCAGCCGGATTCATCCCGGGTGGTTCGACTCGAGACTCTGACGAATGAGTTGGAATCCGAGACGGTATCGATGTCTGGGGCTTGGAACATGCGGCAGGCAGAGTCAAAAACAGTCCGACATGGTTGACACGCTTGTGTCGGCACCCCAAAGCCATGAAAAAAAAAGGCGTCCATCCATTGAGCATAAAAACACGAGCCGTTCCATCTAGATGTGTGGTTTCAGAGTAGGTGGCACAAACCCCAAAAAATCTGTTATATGGGGGTCCATATAAGCCACCTTTTGGGGATTGTGCCATCTCTCTGAAACCATTGTAACACCCTGCAAAGGGGTGTCGAGCTTGGGGGATAGGGATGCCCAATATCCACTCACTTGGAGACCGAAAAGCACCCCTTTCTATATAACTCCTGATAAGAACTACGTTTTTGAAGGGTTATGCGATATATATATATGCCTACATTACCCCTTTTCAACCACCCCTATATATAGGTATGTACAAAGAATTCTCAAAAGCTCCAGCACTGCCAATGCGGCCTACATTTGGTGTTTGTTGGGTGAATGTAGGCCATCTTTACACTCCGACTCACGTTCCATGGAAGGGGAGACTGCCTGGCCAATCTCAAGTAGAGGAAAGAAGTCCTTCCATGGACAACAGCCTGCGGAGTGGAGGACACCGGCCATCTTCGTTCGGAGCGTCGCCACCGGCATCTGGTGTTGCTCGGCTGAGCTCTCGGGCGGTGCCCCGCACGGCATCTCCACGTCACCTTGGGGGCGATTTAGCCGTGAAGGTGAGAGCTCCTAGAAGGGAAAACCAACAAACAAACAAACAAACATCCATATATCTATAGAGTGTATTTATAGTTATAATATATCTTGTCAGTTTGACTTGGTGCTAGGAATCGTGCAGGTTTGATCAACAAGGCCACCAAAGCCTGAGAGTTACCTCGACTCCAGCACCTTTCATGCCTGACCTCCCAAGAATGAGGTCAATTGAAAGATTTCGTGAAAAGGTCACTGAGCGACTAAGCAAGTGGAGGTGAAATCCAGTTGGTGGCATCCTCTACTAAACGAATGGACCTTCAAAGCTGTGTTCAATGGAGATCCACAGGGGGGTGTAGGGTAGTCCATTGGAGACTTCGTAAGGAAGTTGCTTGGAACAAAAGAGTTTCTTCCACAATCCACTCTGAAATCGTTCAGTCCTCTCATCCACACATCCTCTTATCGCATTTTGTCGCGTGCAGCGGTCAGGGCAATCGTGGCGCGCAGGGTGGCAGCTCCGATGGGTGCACCTGGAGATGAGAGGGGCTTGCTGATCCATTGATCCATGCCAGCAACTGCAACCAATAAATCTAGTCAAATATAGTCAAAATCAATGAACCGATGATACTATATAACTTCTACATCTAGCCATATCAAGCCAAATGCTGGGATTGTGGTATACTCCGGACGTCTACCCATTGATGTAAAGCTAGCTCCATCACCGTTTGGTACTTGAGACATTGCATCTCCCCTATCGATGGCCCCGTTGACCTTGGCCGATGGCATAGAGGAGGTTCCCTCTTGGGGGTTGGTCCGACTTGGTAACGACCAGGTGTCAAGGTGTCGAGGGTCCCAGGGCACCTGGTCGTGAGTGACTCGAGAAGGTCGTGAGGTTCCACTTTTAGACTTCGGTCGGAGGTCAGTTTCAAGGTCCTGGTGGTGAGGAATCGTGCTTTCTGGGGGTGTTTGGATATGTTTGGATATCATGATGCGTTGCTGGCCGGCCGATGAAAGCGCGATAGCGGAAGATGTTGCCATTCCCATTGAATCAATGTATGGACATGTATGGACCCTATAGAAGAGATGGACGCTTCTGAAACACAAAACACGAGATCTATCTAGATCTAGACATGGAATCACCATGGCGACGTTGGAAAACCGAGTTCGGATGGCCCTTTTCCGAATAGCAAACAGGTGGTGCCACTCCGTGGTTCCACGAATCAATGAACCACACACGTCAAAGCCAAATGGTCCCTGCGTTTGGTGGACTTTGGGGGGCCCATACCCAAACCACCCATGTATGGAATAGTTGCACTGGTATTTATACATGTACCACTAAACCCATTCCAGGACCCTCCAACAGGCGGTTGTTGGACTTCGGCTATCCTCTATATATGAGGCTATTTACAAGCACCCCTGTGTTCGGGTCCAGGTTTATGAACCTAACGTAGGTAATATAACTATCCCAGTCCCAATGGCTGGTCTGGGTTGGGAATGACCCGGAGCGGGTTCACGTCTGCCTCTCAGAAGCGCCGCCGCTTGCGTGGCCTCAGAGGTCGTGGACCGTAGACGCGAGGCCGTCGCAGATGTGATCCGCTTGAAGTGACAACAAGGATTATAGTGGGCTGAGAGTAGATGGCACGATCCCCAAAAGGTGGCTTATATGGACGCCTATATACAAGACATCTTGGGGTCTGTGCCATCTACTCCTGAAACCACTGTAAGTGACCTGTGAAAAGGACCCGACTGACTGGATTTTTTAAAGGGTTCTTCAACCGACACCCCAAAAAATACTTTACTTCGAGTGATCCCCACCATGACATTTCAATCATTTGTCCTGATGCCATAGTGAGGAGCATGTTGCCATAGTCGTTAGTATTGTAGTTCTCGATGTTGCTTGTGGGTCCTCGGGTTGTGTGCTGTGGTTGTGTGCTGTGTTGTGGTTGTGGTTGTGTGTTTGTGGTTGTGTGTTTGTGGTTGTGTGTTTGTGGTTGTGTGTTTGTGGTTGTGTGTTTGTGGTTGTGGTAGTGGTTGTGGTAGTGGTTGTGATTGTGTGTTTGTAGTTGTGGTTGTGGTTGCGGTTGTGTCTTTGTGATTGTGTGTTTGTAGTTGTGGTTGTGGTTGTGTCTTTGTGATTGTGTGTTTGTAGTTGTGTTTGTGGTTGTGTGTTTTTGGATGTGTTTGTGGTTGTGTTTGTGGTAGTGGTAGTGGTTGTGGTTATGTGTTTGTAGTTGTGGTTGTGGTTGTGTCTTTGTGATTATGTGTTTGTAGTTGTGGTTGTGGTTGTGTCTTTGTGATTGTGTGTTTGTACTTGTGGTTGTGGTTGTGTGTTTGTGGTTGTGGTTGTGTGTTTGTGGCTTTGTGTTTGTGGTTATGTGTTTGTGATTGTGTCTTTGTAGTTGTGTTTGTAGTTGTGTGTTTGTGATTGTGTTTGTGATTGTGGGTTTGTGATTGTGTTTGTTTGTGGTTGTGTGTTTGTGGTTGCGCGTTTGTGGTCGTGTGTTTGTGATTGTGTGTTTGTGGTTGTGTGCTTGTGGTTGTGTCTTTGTAGTTGTGTTTGTAGTTGTGTGTTTGTGATTGTGTTTGGGGTTGTGTGTTTGTGGGAGGTCCAGCGGTGCACACTGCGATCGGATCCTTGCGGTTGAGGTCCAGCGGTGCACACTGCGATCGGATCCTGGCGGTTGAGGTCCAGGGGTGCACACTGCGATCGGATCCTTGCGGTTG